TATTAAAACGCCGGGGAAACTTACATCGCACTCTAGCGGCTAACCTTCGGTGGGAGCGTCGGACCTCGTCATCAAACATATCGCATATCTCCCAGTATATAGCCACAGGGGGGTTTCCAATTAAAACGTCCCTAAATTTTTGGCCTTTATTTCGACAAAGTAATAGGAGAGGTATGAATTCCCTTAAGAATTCTAAGAGCTCCCCGTACCTTGTCATATTTTCTTCGGGATCATGATTCACGAAATACCCCCAAGCATTCACATATTGGTCCAAGTCTTCTATTCTTTGGATCTTTGGTATCAGCTGCTGCCCCTGCGGCTGTGTATTGAGAACATGCTCGACAAATGGTCGCCAATGATGCGGACCGCCGCCCAGCAACGAAGCTGATAAACCAATCACAACAGGGGCTCTATAACAAGAGTTCCGAAGCACTTCTAGACCCCTAAAAGGGCCTGTCGAGCTATTTTTGCCCCCAGGATACTTGTGTACCTCGTCCATGAACACATATCCAGCCGCTATTTGATATATTGCCCTAGGCCTTTTTCTGGTTGGGTCGTTTATTTCTATTTTATACTGTCCGAGCAGTTTCGTCATGCCGAGCTGACTTGCAAGTATAACATGACGGGATTGCAAACTCCGCTGGCTGGGCCGTATTTTTTGATGATGCAGCTCACCCCGCGTCATAAGTACGGCCGTTTCATCGTGTGAGTGAGGCCTACGATCCCAATCCCGGTGGGCGACGGTAAATGTCATATTCGCAGCGACGCTTCCATTCGAAAAATCAACCCATTTTTCAACTTCTTTCATCCACTAAAATAACAGTTAGATATTAATAGTTTTCGCAAATAAGAATATAGGTGTAAGGTGTTCTCAATATCACGTACCTGGTTAAGCAAATCTGATGGTGCAATAATTATACTAGGAGCTGACATCGTCCGCCTCGCAAACTGGATGGCCACCGACCCCGGTACACAAGGACATATGAACCGAAATCTAGATTGTGCCTGGCTGGGGCAAATCGTGAGAGGCGTTTGTACGCCTGCTTGGTCGGGAAGGTGATTGAATTGAGGAACAGGGTCACCGGGATTTACCGTTGCTTTCCTTTGGAGCCATTCGCTATATACTTCTTGCGCAGCTGTGAACAGTTGATGACGAAGCACGAGAACAGCCAGTGTCATCCCAGTCTTTCCAAGTCCAACATCGTCTCCAATCATACCGGCCCGAAGGTCACGAATAGGTTGCGTTATCATCCAGTAAACTGCGTGCATTTGATACCCCCTCAGTCTCAACCTAAGGCCTGGAACTTCCACGTCTGTATCGTTAGTATTACATCCAAAAAATTGGCAAACACTTTCCCAAGTATTCGTGTCAATTTGTGCTTGGTTGATATTGAGTTGATTCATAATTGCGTTTGCACCGTCCGCCATACTGCTATCGTCCATGTCTTCGTGTGTTTTATCTTCGTCGTCTTCGCGTATGACATTAGTACCCACGACGATAGAGTTAATATCGTTAACATCCACCTCATTCTCATCACTTGTAGGGACCGGTCTCGTACCCGACGCGAGATCTCGGCCCGGTGTTGGACCACCTCCCGTGGCTCGACGAGCAGGTTGTGCCCCTCCAGCAGGTGCTGGGCGACGGGTAGGTGTGCTAATTATCCTATCAAGGGATCCAGGAAAGGGTGATTCAAGTGCACTAGGTTTTAAAGCCCGTCCTCCTCCACCTCCACCTCCACCTCCACCTCCGCCTCCGCCTCCTCCGCCTCCTCCGCCTCCTCCGCCTCCAGCTGCAGTACCAGCTGCAGTACCGGCTGGGGCTGGGGCTTCTGATTTATTCTCAGTCGGGGGACCTAATCTAAGATATTTAAAACCGTCGGACTCCACGGTCAGTGGATGCTCGCCCGATTGAACTCTGGCTAGAAAAATATACCAGGAATTGGTATTATGAATTACGGATGAGGGTGGCCCCGGGTCTAATAACACATCCCGCTGTATCTTCTGGTGTAGCAGCAAGTGCGTTCGAAATTCCTCGTAATCGAAATCGCTCGATAGCCGACGTACTGATGCTCGACCATCTTGTTTAATAAACTGATTAAGGAGTATATTACCGGAGTGTTCTAAGCTTCGTCCTTCAGGTAGTACTACGTTTAAATGTGATGCCGGGATTTCAAACCCTATTAATTTGATGACCAGAGTATCGAGGTTTACCGCATTGATAGGGTCAGTAGACATTGCCAACTAGTATTGATAAACAAGATAATCTTAGTTATAGTTATAGTATATCCTGTTAGGTTTATATGTCAACCGTAATCTCAACCTATACTAAATTCTTGTAGTCTTTTAGGTCATTTACGGTGATAGTGGTGATGACACAATTAAAACCCTCACCTTTCACAATCGGATCTCAATATATAGTTATCTAGGAAGTTATAGTCATACAGTAAAATTCGCATCCAACAAACAAATCACATGTTCGTAGTCTCTAAGGACATAAACAATATAATTATGAAGAATAACAATGGATTTGTAGAGTAAATAAGGTTATTATAGTATAGAATATTAAGACATAGTGTCCCTTGAAGTGAAAAGTTGAAAGGAACAGACACATTTACGACTTATTTTCCATATTCAAAGGACACCTAAACCCTTTCGAAACCCTAATATTTACTTGAACAAGCCATGAATTCTAGGTAACTTCTATGTCCTTTCTGTCTTTGTGTTATCTCCTAAAAGCCCTTTCATGGGACCTTCGGAGGGTAATAGTAAGAGAGATCGTGGAACACCTCGGGTATACTGAACACCAGGGGGGGGAGGAGGGGCAAATTTTTTCTTCATAAGGGATGATTTCAAGTATGACGTTACATATGAACTTATGCTTAGTTAAGGTGCGACGGAGTCAACTTCGATGGGCGCATGATCGTCTAAATGTTCAAAACAACGAAGCTTAAGCAGATATTTACCTGTTACCGGCACTTCTCTGTTCGAATATCCACTGCCCACAAGACTATATAATTTGGCCACTCTACTGTAAGTATATCAATATTCAAGATGAAGTTGCGTGAAGGACTAACATTTTAACATAGATCACATTGCGTGGCACTTATCCGGCGGTATGGGATGGATGGTATTGGAACGACCTGATTATTTCTTGAATAATAAAAACATTAGCAATGCCATGTCACAAACATGTACTGACTGGAATGAATGGACTAGTAGGAATATGGTTGGTAAGTACCTACTCAGACCTGTCCTGAAATCTCGATGCCGGCTAGCGAAGTTGACAGACTAGATCGGAGGTGGTTTATGAAAGATGTTGTAAATGCGAACTTTCATAAAAGTAATGTATCATCGCAATGTATATTATCCACGAGTTGCATATCTCTGCTTAACTCAGTGCAGAGGGACTATCGTGATCCGTGCTATTGATAACATTATGCCAATCTTTGAGCAAGAGCAGAGTCTCCTCGCATTTCCCTTTGATCGTATCGTAGCAATCTCTACCCAGAGGGAATCTTAGCGGCACTTCTTTTCCCAGCGCGCACCCTTCCTTTCTGACAAGGTCCAGGATGATTTTGACTGCTTTCCCCGTGTCGCCGGGCTGCGCGCGATCTTCCTTCGCCAGCCCGTCCATATTGGTCTTCGAAGCTCCCGCGTAGTCTGAAATACTAGACGTCACTGCACGTAGGTTGGTCGGCGACAAGAGCATCGTTCGGAATCTACCGGGTTCGATCAACAAAGTTCTAATTCCAAACCCTTCCGTTTCCTGACTCAAACTTTCGACGAGGCCTACGTAACGTTAACTTTGGGGCCTGATTTTGGTGGAACGAGTTCATTACCTTCTAGAGCGAACTTGGATCCCGCGTAGGGGCCGGTAAAAGGATGTCCATGCCAGCCCGAGAGAGAGCTGATGAATACCATGACGCCCGACCTCCTCTCTCTTAGATGGGGTAGGACCGCGCGCGTCACCTTGAAGACCCCGAAAACGTTCGTATCGAACTGGGCAAGGAGCTGATTGTATCTAGTATTTTGTAAGCAGGAAATCTTATTGGAAGACGTTCTGCCTTACTCAATATCCTCCCACCCGCCTGTCGTGATGAACGCGGCGTTATTGACTAGTACATCGATTCTCCCGTATACGGCTATTGCCTTAGCGACAGTGTCATTGATGGATTCCTGAGAGTGGGTGACATCGAGTTCTAATATAGTCGCACCGAGTTGCTCAAGATGCTGGAGCTTATCTAGCTTTCGTCCAGTGGCAACGGCAAGATCCCCTCGAGATAATATCTGCTGGATCAGAATCTCTCCGAATCCGGAAGAACAGCCGGTGACAAGCCATACGAGTTGAGTCATGTTGTTATTGGTAAGAGTGTATCGTGGGAGAGTTTTTAAAATGCTTGAGAATAAATGGAATGGATGTGTGAGATTCTGTGTTTATGATCGAGGCCATTGTGATAGATATTTATATTACTACCTCATAGCATACTGACTGCTGATCAATTTCTACAGGATATGCGCACTTAAGCATAGGTTAATATCTTTAACGCCGACAACCCATTAGATATGTAGGATGTCCGTCGCTCTAAGTGAAGTCCGCCCTACACGTAGGCAAATGAATAGAAAGGTCCGATCACGTGAAGCGGTCCAACCGAGACTTGATCTGACAATAGTCCGCTTACAGCCTACTAAAGGCCGCTCCTATCTACTTTGAGGTGTTAGCCTAGTGTGTTTATTATAAATCATCTGCCGATAATGTCTACGTAGGTTATAAGGCAACTATCAGAGAACTAAGACGGGATATCATGAGACTGAAGGAACTTATATTATGAGACTACCTAGGTACTAAGCTCATCATTGAGCTGAAATGAGTGTTATGTACTTGATGGCGTGGAATTCCCATAGCCCGAATCCTCCCTGCCGTACTTTCATCTGGACGCATATCCTTTCACCATACACATACATAATTCATTACTGTTTGTTGCTAAGATTGGTTATATCAATCAAGGGTGGAATTCCAAACCAGTTGTAGCATCCCCCCAATGAGCATTGATATAGTCAAAGGGAATATGAACCTTTCTTTTCCATGGCCCGCTTGTGCCATATTTCGGCATCCTATCCTCTACCTCGGTATAAAAGGTCGACGTCAGAGGAGAGAATGGCTCAGATTTCATGGTTGAGTCCTTCGGAACGCGTGGAACGACAGTCCTGGCGCCACGCTTCTGCATGTCCTTCAAAACTCGGAAAAAACGAGTAGTAACTAAGTCGGCGTTTATAGTCCATGGAATGTTGACGTATGCCATCACGATCATCATGTTGGGAATGTCCTGGATCATTGAGAAATTCCATATGAATCTGCCTCCCCACTCAATCTTTTCACCATCCACTCTGATATCAATATGTCCACCGAGCAACGTTCTTAGTCCTGTCGCTGGAACTATCACATCGGTTTCGACTATTTGGCCGTTATCCATCTCAATAGCCTTCTCTGTGACACGCTTGATGGCGCCGGTTACAATACTTGCTCTCGGATCATGAAGAGCTTGGTAAAAGTCCCCCGAGGGGGCCCAGCAGAGGCGCTGCTCCCAAGGGAGATATCGAGGCATAAAGTGAGGGTCAATGCCGACAGATTTTGGCAGCTGTGGAAGCGCCTTATTGATGAGATAACTCTTGGCATATATAGGATAATACTTGCAGAATAGTATAACGAACCAAGAGAAGATTGTGCTCCACACTCGTAGGAATGGGTGCATCCATGCTGGGCGGGTATCATCATCGGGCACGGATAATATGTAAGAAGGACTTCTTTGTATCATAGTAACTCTGCCAGCCTTCTTCACTAGGGCGGGCACAAGTGTGACAGCTGTTGCTCCGCTGCCGATGACGGCTACATTTCGGCCGGTATAGTCGAACTTCTCAGGCCAGAATTGGGGGTGGATAACCTGGCCTTTGAAGTTTTCAATGCCAGGAATATGAGCCTGTCGTGGAGTATCGTAGTCATAGTATCCTGTACCTAGAATTACGAAGCGTGCCTTAAACTCCTTGTGAACGCCATCATGGCTTACGGTCACAGTCCACTGTGCTGACTTAGAAGACCAATACATAGAGAGGACTTTGTGCCTGAACCGAATATGACGACCGAGGTTGTACTTAGACACGGACGTTTCCAGATATTCCTTTATCTGGTTACCTTGTCCGATGGCTTTGGGGTACGGCCAGGGATTCCATGTAAAGCCATACATGTAGAGGTCTGTGTCTGATCGAACCCCTGGATATCTGAAGAGATCCCAAGTGCCGCCGACGCTGTCTCGGTTTTCGAAGACGGCAAACGTAGCTTGCGGAAACTCGGTTTGCAGTCTATAGGCACTGTTGATACCAGATATCCCGGCACCTACGACAATTAAGTCGAGGGTCTCAGGAGTATTGGTCTTTTCTGGTAAGGATCCCATGTTGGTATGTTCCTTCTTGTAACTAGGAACTTCACATAGGTAGTAGCAACAAACGTTTGTAGTGAAATAGTCTGTGGGTAAAAATAGGGGTAATTAACATAAGTTCCCCTGACAACAAATCAACACAACTCGATTAAATCAAATATGATGAACAAAGATTTTTTTTTTCAGAAACTCGCAATGAGCAGTACCTTAGGCAGTAACTTATATTTACTATCTACTATAATACTATAACATTACCCGAGGCTATACACAGTGGCAATCTAGACATGGCCATCTCGTCTAGTCTAGTCGGGTAGAGTCTTTTTTTTCGAGCCCATTGGAGGGTGGTGTGTACGCTACTATGTTACTCGTGATGCCAATAATCGTTGGAGAACTTAAGGAAATAGTCTCGTGGCGTTGGTGTAACATGGGGGTTCGAATCATCACCCCGTAAACTAACGAATTTCTTTGTTCTATCTCCGCATTCGAACTGTTGTTGGCCTCTTTCAGCTTGTTACACCCCGCAATAGTACTGATTTGTCACATTGCACAAGAGTGTCGTTTCACAATGACGAAAGTAAGTTGATACTGATTGGCTTTCGATGATACGAATCTGTGCTTTTTACCATCTTAGCGACACGTACTCGATAGCTGCTTTTTTTGTTTTGCTTTTTTTTTGGTTCACCGTTACTTGAACAGGTCATAATCCCGAGACGCGCAGAAATATTTATCTAATGCCCGTACTTAGTCCATGAAATGAGGCATGGGGGCTGATATCTTTATTGTATTGCCAACAAACTGCTCCAACCTGGCAAATAGTCATTTCTACACGTAATGGCACCTTGCCCATAGTGACTACATACGTCACACTAACATATATAACGCTTTAACCGCATTCTCAGCCGCGGCAATATGCCATGGCCGGATGTCTGTTTCCTTGTCTACCATGCCACGCGCTCTAGCTAGTGTCCCGAGCCCTCGGTAATAAGTAAGTATTTCCCTTAATAAAGATTCATATGCTCTAGGATTCCCCTCATTATGTACTAGATTGACCTCTAGGAGGACAGGAGGGTCTTCAACTCGTGTCCCACCACGTTTTACTAGATACCCACTGATTAGTGCTGGATTCAGCTCTGTCAAGGAAGTCGAGTTGTTCAATCTGTGGGATAGGACGGCACCCCACGTTTGATCGGTGATTTCGGTTAATGTAGCGTCACTATCGGCTTCTGGATTGTTGTCCCCGCTGGGCGTCGGTGTGCTTGTAGGTGCATTCTCTCGCATGGGCGTAAGTGGGTTACCACTCTGCTCCGGCGACACCATAGAGCCTTGTGGCGTTGAAACCGGCGTGGTGTAGAATACAGATAAGGCATTGCTTGTTATCTTAACTGCCGGGGGGAGGAGTTGCATGGATGGGTTAGTGTCTACTACGATCAGCGTCAAGCTGATCGATGCTTTCGACTCTGCTTGGGCTAGGGCAGACCAGAGTTCTATCTCGGACTGTTCCATCGTACCGGATTTCGCGATGATGATTCGCCAGTGTACTTTCCGAGCAGATATGAAGTCATGAGTGGCACCCCAGATCTCTGTAGTTACATCCGCGATTGGCCTCGACAGACATTTCCCTTTTCTTCCTAGGCAGTATGACGCCGTCATTTGTTGGCTACCCCTATTATCTGTCCAAGCCGCTGTAACCCACCTTCCATCTATGCTTTGCGCATATGCAATGTGGAGGCAAGTGTTCTCGTGTAACAACGACGCGGACGGATTGGTTGTCAGCTTGAAATCGATTATCCTTGGTGGTGGTTGTTCAAGCATTATTGCCGGGGATGGTCCCGCTCCACCAAATTGAGTACACCTATCGTATGTCTCCATGGCCAGTTTACCAAAATCAGAAGGGGATGGCATAGCAACTGAACATGAAGATGCTATGAAATCTTGTGGTATTAGTTGTAGGGCCAGATCGTTAACGATTGATAACTTTTTACTCGACAATATTCTTCTGTATCCCTCGAAGATCTGGTTGAAAGCAGAGCAGCATTCTACTGCCGATCCAGCAGCATCTGGCGAATAGACGAAGAAGATAACAAAATTTATCTCTTCAACTATCATTGATGCTAACACTTGGCAGATTTTACTAACACAGCTCGCTATTGAGGGTCGTAGAAAAGATGATGACTTGCTGAATGGGATTAGGTCTTTCTCAGAAGTGAAAGGAAACATGCCGTTCTCTACACCAGCTGTTGTAGGAAGACGGCTGAATGAACCCAGCTTTAATGATTCGTAAATGCTACGCATTCGATCTGTAAACGCAAGCATGTCATCTGCCATACCCTCGTTATTGGGGAAAATACAGAGTGCATTGATGTCTTTATTTCCAGGAGACGGACTTAGTCCAAGACTCTCCCAGAAAGCGACAGCAGATGGTAAGACAGACAACTTAGACTCGTATCGCCGCAACTCAAAATGTGGCGATGGGACCTGGAATAAACTACTTGGCCTCATCTGATCGGCTCCCGGTGGCCTTGGCTGCATTCGTGTAGGTTGCCCGAGAAGGGGTACATCTTGAAGTTCTATAAATGGACGAAATTGATACTCCGTAGCAGTTGCAAGGCATGGGGGAAGGCCAGACTTGACATCTTGGATCGATCTCCTTGTGAGATTGGTAAGCTGACGGCGCTGGTAAACTCTTGATTCTAACAGTTGAGGTGTGGTAGTAGTCGAAAAGGTGGAAGTAGAAAATTGGTCTGTAAGAATTTGTGCTGCCATTATTAACTGATCGTCCGGTAGTGATGGCGAGAAAAGTGGCGGTTCCGGGTCGGCAAAGTACTTGGTGAGTGGCAAGTCCGCCTCGGACTTGCATGCATGAGGCAACTCAAGTGGTAGATGAGGCAAACTCAGGTCTATAGATTCGAGCTCTTTAAATGATGTAGCAAGGGACTCCCTATCGTCGTCAACTAGTCGTCTTCTCACGCTCGAGGATTTCACGGGGGATGATGGATCATCACTATCGTAGCTTAAATCATCCTGATCCGATACAATACTCATTTCATCGGCGTCTGAGTGCGTCTCTTCGAGGTTTGAAGGGCTTGGACGATTCGATATGGGAATCTGAGAACCAGGTGGGTGAATTAGAAGATGTCCGATCTTTGCAGGGAGTTCTTTCAAGCCCTTCCGGGCCTTGACATGGCGACGCAAATAATTCGTCGTTGGCGGTTCATTTAGACTAGAAAACTTGACATCTTCTGATCGCTCGACAGAGTAGTCGAACCGCCCACTCCCTTCATATTTACTGTTCACTGCCGATAAGCAGGGTCCAAAATCCACTTTATCAAAAATGCTGTTATGAGGAGACACTTTTATACGAGAGTTCTCCTGTACTGCATGGTGGTTATCAAGGGACGCTTTAATTCTCTTGAACACGGTATCCGGGTTGAATGGACTAGCGGGCCGTTTAACGCCCGCAGACTGGAATCTATTAACGTCTAATCCAGCTTGGCGCCGTGCTTCATCTCCTAACGAGCTCCGTGCATGTCTTAGCTCAGGCTTCGTGAACGTTGGCGAAGCGGCATCAACTAAGCGAATATCCGGAGGACCTCCCTTGGTCTGAGACTCTTGTATCGTCGGAAGGCCGACAGTAAGACCTAAATTTGAATCTGAATTTGAGATGCCAGGCAAGTCAAGGGAACTGAGGCCCATGTCGCCAGGCTGTTCATCAAAGAAATTAAAATCAGCCTCGGTAATATCGGCGTCTGCAAACATATCGGGACCCAATTCGCCGAAGAGATTTTCTGACTCAAATGAAGCACCTATGCGTTCGCGTTTCGTGTCCGTATTCTCCCAATGATCTCCGTACGATCTCACATTACGAGTCCCATCAATGTCTAACGCAGATGCAGCCGCATTATTTCCAGGACTAGAAGCCGTACCGTCCATAGACGGCGTCGCACCAACAATATTTTGGATGTTACCGTCTGGAGGTGTCGGGTATAAACCAGGCGGTACACCAGTATTATTGGATCGCTGTAATGGTAAAGGAGATAGACCACTAGTATGTGGGTTTTGACCGTCTCCTAGCGTAGCTTCACGAGCCGTTGCAGCGTCTCTCTCCTTTTTATTCTTTATCAGTGTCTCATCCCGCTCCCCCGCATCTAAAAACCATTGCTTAGCGACCCTTAGAGTGTCATAGTTCCGGTCAAATTCAGACCCCGAGACATCATCTCCTTCGCCTCCAATTCCTAGTCGCGAAAACATCTTACAAAAGCACAAACTCGCAGGCCACGATATGTTTGAAGTACCTACTAGCGGTGTCCGTTTCCCATCTACGTTTTGCTCTGTTGGTTTTCTTCGTATTCGTTGAAGACTAATCCAACTTGGGGATTCACAAAAAGAAGACGGTATGTTACGGGCTTGCAGGAATTTAGAACAGATATTCCGCCATTGGCCATCATCCCTTTCAGACCTAAGCCTCATAATTTGAGTATCGGGGGACTGGCCAAAGCTACCTTCGGTAGCTACATTATCAGATGTAGTACTGACGGGGTGGCAAGTAGCAAACATTCCTAATGGCGCGGCTAAGACAGTAACACCAAGAGACGGAAGAGGATATCCAAGCTTTTCAGACAGGCTTATTATACCCTCCGCCAGAGAAAGCGAAAACGATATGACAAGACTGCCAGTTGTTGTGAGATATACGCGTAAGGAAGCGAGTATCGCAGGAGCAGTGGCGTAGTCGTCGTGAGGGGAGCTCGAAAGAAGCAGGGTCCGGGAGCTTAGCGGGATAGCCCCAGTGTTAGCACAGAAGCTAGAAGATACTGCAGATAAAGCAGCGCAGATAAAGTAATCGTAGACATCTTTTGTTGACGTCGAGGAAGTGATTTTCGAGTCTATGGGTGGGACTGTCCTGGACTCCTGCTCGCTTGGAGTAGAAAACGATTGGGCCGAGGAAAATGTAGCAGACTGCATATTTCTATAGGCCGAGTCTAGAGCAGCGGATCCAGTTGAGGATGAGGAGCTTGCTGGAGTATTGGCGGTATTTGGGCCATGTGTACGACTCTTAACGAGTGCCACCGATTCAAAGGTGCCCTCCTCGGTCAAGGAAAAGCTAAACCCAGCACTTCCAATCAACTTGGGAAATGTAGGTATTGCTGATTGACCTCCCTGCAGCCTACTCTTCTGCGATAAGTAAAAGCACCATATACCCCGTCGAACCGTATCGTAATATGCCAGGAACCCATCTTTCCGGAGCGCAGTCTCGAGCTCGAGCGCATGGGAACTAAGGGATGTTAAGGTTGGGGAGACGGGATCGTAGAAGGCAAAGTTAACAGATGATATATTATTCTGTGTTATAATTACGTTGTAGTTAGCGGGTGCATCGATGCAAATATATTAGTATGCCTCGGTCTCTTGTACTCACAATTACTAATGTATTAGTCTCATATTCGCCAGTGTCCATATCGTAAATCGTATCAATCATTCCGATGTAGTAGTCGTTTTCGTACAACAAACAGCAGAATTCCTATAACCAAATAACTGCTAACATAAGAATAGGATACAATGAATAGAGTGAGTTGGATGATTTCGTTTCAATCTCTGAGGTCTCGAACACATGCCGAACTCCATCTCCGCTACGCCTAATGAAAAAGGGCAATGCGAAGCTGGAATCGGACAGTGAGGATTGAAGCAAACGAGTAAACAGCTATCACTTCGTAGGTCATAGAGTTAGTCGCAACATTGGCCGGTTACATTAGGTATGTGATCATGGCCAGATGATGTTCTGTGTAAGGGATGGCTGAGGATGGCTGAGGAATCTTTAAGGTCTTGTACTAAGTAAAAGTACCTAATTCTATATTTCCCGGCGTTGAGGCTGGCACATAGGCACATGGGCAGCTGTGGATCTTACCTAAAGCGCCTTGATCCATTGTTGTGGCTAAGACCAATCACCTACCGGGCGCAATAAATGGTGGATCTCGCGTTATGCAAGAATTAGAACTACCTTATCGAATCATAATCTCCACTAAAATTCTCCTTATCGCCCCTCTGCTTTCTTTTTCTATCCATCGTCTTGTCGCGTATTATTTCTTTCCTTCCCATCACCATAAAACTTCTGTCGGCAACAATTGTGAATTGTGTCGCCATGAAGGTCACCAACCAGGGAGATGTGTCGGTATACACAATAGCCGGTGCTAATACTGCGCGGCCTTTACCAGACTGGTAAGATAATTAGTATCTTCCCCGACAAGAACGTTGATACTAACTAGATCTACGCAGGCTCGCACGTCGCCGGAAACGCAGCTTGAAATCAGACCCCGAGTATCAAAATCGAATTGAACTACTTCAAGACTTTGAGTTTGAGGAAGCCAGCCAGTGTGTTAGAGTTTCTGAGGACAATGATTGGATTATGTCCACTGGAACATGTATGTCGCAATGATATCTAAAAAAAATATCCTTAAACAACATATTAATGTCTAGTAGACAAACCGCAATTCCATGTTCACTACCTACCTCATCTCTCACTATCATATGCGAGACACACCAAGTCTCTCAATACGACGTTTCTTCTACTTTCAAACGATTACACGAAATCCCTACATTTACAGAGCGACCGAAAACTTGAGTTCCATGTAAGCATTAAAGTTTTCTGAGAGAAAGTGGTGTTTTAAGTACGAGCGGAATATGTTAACATATGATAGACGCCCGCTGGTTGTCATTATGAGTTACGCCTGCCTAGGTACGGAAGAGACCTCGTTTACGATCGGCATGCTACCGAAGCGTTGATTCCCTCAGTCGGGTTGGATCCCGATGGAAATGGTGAAGTCTTTCGAATGAACCTTGAGGTTGGGAGATTCATGAAATCATATCAGATTGATGTTGGATCCGACGACGGCGTCGAAGGCGGCTTACAGGGAAGCATCGGCGTCGGCAGTGTTAACACAGCAGCAGTTGCCGAGAACAGCCACAACCTATTAGCATTTGGCACATCTGTTGGCTCCGTTGAATTTTGGGACTCGCGATCCAAGTCGCGAGTTGCTATCCTTGGCGGCCAGGAGGGTGAAATAACAGCCCTCGACTTTAACCCCACGGGTCTTTCATTAGCGACAGGCACATCCAGTGGGCTTATTAAACTTTTTGATCTTCGAAGTCCGAAGCCGCTGTTACAAAAAGACCACGGTCCAGGATTTCCGATCAAAAGTCTTATCCACATGACTACGTCTTCTCAAGAGAAGAAAGTCCTATCCGCCGATAAACAGATGATCAAGATTTGGGACGAGCTTGACGGCGAGACCTGGACCTCCGTTGAACCATTAGTCGATATCAATTTCGTCACATGGTGCAAGAATACGGGAATGATCCTTACGGCCAACGAGGGTAAACCCCTTCATAGTTTCTTCATCCCACAACTGGGGTCTGCGCCGCGGTGGTGTTCGTTCCTTGACAACATGGTCGAAGAGATGGCCGAGGAGGTCAGCACTGATCAATATGACAATTTCAAGTTCCTGACATTGCCGGAATTGAAATCTCTAAGCCTCGCTCACTTGATTGGCAAGACGAACTTGCTACGCCCTTATATGCACGGTTACTTCGTCGCTTCGAAGCTGTACGACCAAGCTCGGTTGATCGCCAATCCTTACGCTATGGAAGAGGAACGTGCAAAACGCATTAAGGAGAAGGTTGAAAAGGAGCGCGCTAGCCGAATCCGTGGAAATAAGAAGGTTAAGGTCAATCAAAAATTGGTTGATAAGTTGCTCAAGCGACAGGAGAGGAGGGCACACATCGATACGAATGCTGGTGTGCTGGGAGATGAACGATTTACTCGTCTATTTGAGGACGAAGAATTCAAGATTGATGAAAACAGTCGCGAGTTCCAGGTCCTAAATCCCAGCACGAAGATCGATCCGGAGACAGGTGTAAAAAGTACGGTCCCCGGTCCAAAGTTCTCTGACGAGAGCGAAGACCCTAGCAGTACCAGCGAGAGTGACGATGAGATATCTCTTAAAAGGACTGCGCAGAAGGAAATGGTTATGCGAGTCAGTTCGTCTAATCGGGAGAGTAGCCACTTGTCAAGGGATGCCTCTCTAGGCTCGAGAGCCCAGAAGTCAGGCAGGGTCAACAAAGCCCGAAATGGCGACATAGTCGGAGAGAGACAAGTTACATTCGTGCCGGACTCGAGGAGGAGGAAGAACGATGAAGCTCCAAAAGCTCAACCAAAAGATAGACGAAGTGACCCACGACGAAGTGCTAGTACTAATGTATTCAGACGGCTTTGATACCCAGCGATATACTAGCGATATTTGATACAAATTTAACAGGCGGTTGGCTCGCTTTCCTGAACTCCATTCTCCAATTACAAGTGAGGCCATTTAAATACCATAACCGATTCGACGCCTATGTCTTCTTCCAAGTAACCATCACCTATTCAAAATAGTCCACACCGCGCGACGATTCATTTTCTCGTCCACTTCTTGCCTCTCTTCTCTGAATTCTCTCTGGTAGTTGACTGGGCAAGGCCCTTTTCAACATCTTCGGGTCGCAATTTAGGTGTTGGTGGTACATCATCCAAGCGAAGACGACCTCGAGATGAGTTACTGGAGGACTCCTTAACCGACCTTGGGAATTCCGATCGACGGGGTGTGAGAGCAGTGACTACCTTCCTTGCCGAACGACGGATGCTCTCCCTAACCTTCCATTCCCTCTTCTTAGCTAGGTAAAAAAGCACCGCTGTAGAAACTACACCATATTAGCTCGTTGAAATCAGCTGTGGTACGGAAGAACTCACTGCCAAGTACACAAACAACGGCAACGACAACTATGATCGCGACTATCGCACCGTGGGAAATCTGAACGACACCGGGGCTGCTACCAGATGCCCCCGCAGAATCATCAATGCTGCCGCCGGAACTGATCGAGCCCGGTCCACTGTCGCCTTCGTTATAAGGTACATCCGTCGCCAGCGGGAATGGGTCTGAAGTAGAGGTCGCCATGGTGAGCTTGCACTAGCGAAAAATGAAAGTAATGTAAGTGAGAGCCGGCACTTTGGTTCTTTGTGGAACGACGTGGGACGACGTAAGGCGGCCGCTACAGATTTTGAACAAATCTCATCCAGCCATGCGAGACGATATTGAAGGTAGGAAGAGAACCAGGATTTGTATCACGCCACATCGGGGCTCTTGGTACTTATGAACGAGGAATTCGTCCTGGTGGGGATAGTTAGTTGAGGCGCTTAGAGAGACCATTCTGTAAAGACATCTTAATGATGTGACAGAATATGCATGGTGGGTGTTGATAGGAACCTAGGTAGTGTCTCTAGCTCTTCTATGTAAAGACTTAATGCACCACTGGCAGTTGAGACCTCAGGGGTCCCGGCACTTTTCCAAAGTCTTCATTGGGTGCCACCAACTCAGATGCAGGAGTTAAGCAATAAGATCTCTTTTATTTAGATGGAATCGAATTGTTATTGGTAGTTGAAATCTAGCAAGCGCTTAACCAAGGGCGCTTTGGGACTTGACCCCTGGTTATTTGGCCAATCAGCATGTGTTAACAGGGATTTTAGGAGGTACCATTTCTTGTGGCCTCCAAACGCTGCATCTTGTCACATTTGTCGCCCAGGTTTGTTTCTCGTGGTTTGCTTGTAATTTGCTGGAGAATTCTTATCACGAAAAAGTTTCTGGTAGAACAGTCATTTGCTCAAGGAAATAGTTATCTATTTGAAGCTAGTATGACCGTATCTCCGTGCCCTCTTAATTATCATGACAATTTCAGAGGATGCTACCTAGGTAGGTATCTTAGAACAGCACGTCATAAACAGTCCTCAACCGCGCATACGCCCACGCATTGAAGTCCGTGATAGACTCCAAAAATTCCTTCATTTGCAACCCAAATAAAATACAATTAAAACCCTACCTAATACAATCGGCATAATGACTTCGCTATAGCTACGCCTGTTTAGTTCATAAGAAGATCCACCAGTTATGCATACTGTAACCGTTATTGTTTAGTGTGACTTTGATGTATTCCATTGAGGCCTTCATCGACTCGCTAGACGAGAACTTGGACGTTTCTAATCGCAGGAATTTCCCATCAGCCACCTCCCATCAAATCTAATTTAGAATTACCTATTCATTGTTCTCCTAGAAGAGCGCCTATTTAATAATGCGTCCACGATATCAGACGCCAACTCACTTGTGTCGTCTCAAAGACGCGTCTGATTGCGTCTAGATCAACTGTCTAGATGGCAGATAGACTTCATCTTGTATAAATCGGTAACTGAGACAGGCCAACATATTGGCCTGCGTTTATTAATGGCACCCAAATCGCATGTTTCCTGACCGGATCCCAAAGATACCGACGCCATTCTATGCCATGCTACGCCATGCTACGCCATGCTATCTATAGCAACAAATTTCGCGATGTTGCTGTTACACTGCTGCCGGAGATGCAGCCATCTACACTGGTGATTAGTCACAATATAGAAGTGTAGGATACCTCTGTTCGACCAATCCATCATAAACTCACGTCAGTTAATCTCATTTTAATTCGGCATGTTCGTGAACGAAAATAGGTAGAGTCACGCTCTATAGGTACCGCAATTTGACACGCCAACGTTAGCTATATGCTAGCCTTTCTATTATTAAATTTAATCACATCTTTTCATACCCATATTAAGAGTAACGAGAACACTTAGATGTCTCGTCGGAGTTCCTTACAGTGAACCAACTAGAAATTCATCAGTCTTCGAAATTATGTAGAGGTATATAGGGGTTGTCTGTCCATTTTTATATTTCATATTCAAGCTTTTCCTATAACAAGCAGTCTTCTTTGAAAACATGGTGATTTTACTCTACCTATGGATCCTTAGGTCATTGCATCTAAGTCAGGTAGTTACCTATTTCATATAAAATATTTGTAGAACATAGATCCTTCTAGTGATAGAATTAACTACAAGATGTATAACTCCTTCTGTCTATATTATCCGGGCAGTCACGTAAGTCATTAAGGACCAGCAAAATTGACCGTGTATGTTTAAGGCAGTTACGCAAAACGGCACTTCCAAGGGGACGAGAGCCACTAAGTGCTACTTTCTCAACCTTATAATATTATCAAAAACTCAGAATATTAGTTCAATTGAAAATTTATCCACCTCTCATATTCAGCTCACATCATCTATCATGCTTTGAACCGCAAAATGGTATAACTGTTTGGGCGCAATAATCATTCTCGTTCCTTACGCTGGGAAAGGCGACGTACTATCCTCCTAATATTTCGCCTCTGATAATACAATCCAGTGTTAAAAACCTAATAATCAGAATGCTACGAGAGGACCCCAAGTATGAGACGTATGTGTCAAGCCAAATGTCTAATAGATATGCGGATCCTACTTCTCAAGCGACGTCTAGCCAGGCCGATCTTGTCCAGCCACTAAAGGACTCACAAGACACAAATAGCAATGTCATAACTAAAAGTACTCCGTTAGAAGGTTCATCCGAGGATGCTCTCCCTACCAGGGCTACAGAGGCAAGCTTTTTTACCCGTCCGGTACTGGAGACAGCCGAGGAGATAGGGGCCATATTCCAATTTCAAAAGGCGCCGCCTCCTCGTACGATATCCCACGGTCCAGTTGGACAACAAAGAAATACAGCCCCTCCTCCTCCTCCTCCTCCCGTAATCAATAGAGTTTCGCATGGCGGTCTAAGTCCCGGAGTTTCTGACTTCAATAGTCATGTTAGACCAGTGGAATCCCCGCCATCAGAAAGTGGTAGAGATAGAATCGGAGAACATTATGATAGCAATAAAGATGATGATGATACAGTCGACATGATAGTATACCCCCAAGAAGCCCCAAAGAATACCCCCAGTAGCACCCAGCCCCCTGTCGGCGACTCATCAGGCTTAGCATCCACCAAAGACTCGTTTGACTTTCCTTTCCCAGACAATACTAGCCAGTCACGTTATGGTGGGAAAAAGCAGACATCTCACTTTTCTCCTCTGACGAAGGCTCAGCTCCCGAAGGCAATCTCGGATACCCGTCGAAAAGCTCTTGCGCAACTAAGCCCTCGTAGTGTATTGCCACAAACAAAAGTCGCATTATCACCTACTGTCAACCCACAATCGGCACAACCAAGAAGCACACCAAATAGAGCAGTTCTAGCCAAGACAATGAGGCGCTCGGAGATCCACAAGAAACCTCGGAGTGATCATCAATCCTCAAGAGACATTGGCGTCAGTGAAGCCAAACATAGCTCTACGAAGAATCTTCGGAATAAGCGAAATAGACTCCAGGGTCTTACGCGACCCATATCATTTGGGGCATCAGAATACGATGTAATTTCCGCAGTGAGATCGTGTTCTCAAGCATCGAATATTTCAAAGCCACGAGCTCCTCCTAGAGTCAGTTACAAGGGAGACACTCCCACACGCGAGCAGAATAGCATGAATTTAATGAGATTCGCGGAATCTTGGAACACGAACTATCTCTACAATCAAGAACTACTGGACCGTTGGGAGCAGAAAATGTCTTTACTAGAAGACCATATTGCATCTCAAGATTCAGTTATTGAACAGTGCCAGGAAACAATCGCGTGTCGCGATCAAAAGATCGATGACTTGTCGACAGAAGTTGAAAATCTTCGTACTCAAAACCAGGAGATTCAAAGCAAGATAAACATATCTTCTGACATACGCAAGAAACTGGAGGATAAACTGAAGTCTTGTCGAACCCGTTTGAATGATGCAATTGGCGAACAACAGCGACTTTTTTTACAATGCAGGGAAAATTGCCAAAAGGCAATTGCAGACATTGAAGGGGAAGAGAAAGCACGGAAAGAGTCCATAGATAAGGCGTTTATGACACTTGAGCGCCTAAGAACCGGGATTAGGCAAGAGGTTGCTGGAGTTGTCAAAGATACCAATGGACAAGCCGACGAACGTATGTAAGATTACCCCTCCTAAAGCAATGAGACTAACGTGTGATAAGTGAGTAAAACCATCAAGTCTCTCGAAAGCGAGCTAAGAGATCGTGAGATGGAACTTGAACGTGAAAAACAGCATGGCCAGGATCTTACCGAGCAGCTGTCCAAGTTTCAAAAACTACACGAGCACTCGCTCCAGTTAGTATCGACACAGAATCAAGAGTTTTTAGACCAAATGAAACAGGATCGGAAGCATGTTGAAAATACCGAGAATCGCATTCAAAAACAAGAAGAAAAGTAAGGACTCCCCATTCGACCTATGTCAAATATTGCTAACTTCATAGACTTAACAAGATTCTAAAGACGCTGGAACAGACTAACTCAAAAACTGTAGATCCCATGGTAGTAATGGAGAAATTAAGAGAAGCTCATAGTAGCATAGCTGCAGCGTATGCGTCTAAACAATTCCGAAGAGTATATAGTGCTAACAAGTTATTAGGATTGTTGCAGAATTTCAAGATTCTGTCCTGTTAACTCATAACTCTGTACTTGAGGACCAAGAAACTTTACATGAAAGTATTGGGGAAATTCGTTTGCTATGCGAAGGTATATGCGAGAAGTTGACCGGACTAAATGATGTTGCGGTATGGCAAGAGAGAACACACGATTCTGACATGGCTATCAATAGCCATATCCAGCACATTCAAGGTCTACAAGATGAATTACACCAACTATACATCCGCATAAATGAGCAGACGGGAGAGCGTCAAGAGCTCGAGAGACGGCTAGTAATTGCTGCAGCCAATGAGCAAATAACAAAGGAGAAGATCAAGACTTTGGCAGAGCAGACTGAGTGTTTCCAGAAAACAATAGGCGAGAAGGAAATAACGATAAGCGAATCGAATGAAAACCTCAAAGCAGTCCAGGAAGAATTGAGAAAGCAAGCTCGCGTTGCTCAAGACAGGGAGAGGCATATTCAAATTGAGCGCGAGAACCACGAAAAAGCAATTCAGCTTAGTGTGCAGCAAACCAAGCAAGAAGTATCTCGGGCTATCACCGAAAGGACAAAGGAGCTT